TTAAAACCTCATATGAAGGTTCGACTGCGACTGGGTTTCTTGCCATCAGACTACACTCTTCGTTCATCTTTGTTACTCATTAGGTTTGTATCAGTGTTCAGCTTGACTAGGAGTTTTCATAACTTGAAAATTTCACTATTTTTAGTCATCTGGTGGTTGTATTTTCAGGAACAATTTGACGGTGATCGAACCTGTTGTGGTATATGGCAGAGGCGCCCGAATTGGAATGCGTGTGGAGAATATGGAAGCAAGGTCGAAACAACCTCTACTTTTTGAAATTCGGCACGATCATCTGAGCGATTGTAACAATCCCAAACGTGAGTGCATTGCTGGATATTATAGGGTGCATGAGTATATAGTATGACTTCACTCATCCCAACTTGGTCAATTGAGGGAATCGGGTGTTCGACCCTCTTGACTCAATGAAGAAGTTCCGTTACTTTTGTCATCAGAGCTAGGGTCAGTAGGGCCTTTGGAGAAAGCAGTCGTTCGTCATCCAAAGTAGTGCACTAGTTTGTAGGCCTTATTGTATCAAAACGTAACATTTATATCAAGCTGGGTGGGTGAATAGAGTAAGTACAAATAGCAGTATGAAAAACTAGTGGCTTAGCTGGCGAGGGGTGCTCTTATTTCACCGCAAAGGTGCTCGAAGTAACTTCACAGTCCTACGGAGCTACAGTGCTGCCTTCCCATTATTCCTCCGCTTGGAAATAGCTGCATCAGCCTTCCGTTTTCACACATACGTCCTGTGACCCTTACGGCACAAGCAGAAGGCGAATCGGCGTGATGTTGACATTATGGAAGCTCGAATTACCGTGGAAACTCGTACACCGCTAAAGCCATTGGAGAGAATAGAGGGATCTTTTCGCAGCTCTTCGTCTTTTTTCAGTTTCTTCCTTCACGACTGCTCCACTTAGGACTCTTACTCATGATTTTCGGTCGGCAGCCAAATTAATATACCTACTGCCTTTACCCGTTTAGAAAGAACTGAAAACAGTGCCCGTTCGCGAACTGTGTTATTCTTGGTAACCCCAAAAAGATGTTTCGACGGCTCTTTTGCAGACGAGAATTTTGATCCATTTTCTATCATGTCACCCTATTTTGTCCCATAAGGTGCACCTTGGGTGCAGATGGTGTAGTGGCAAGTGGCACCTTTAGTGCGCGATCAGATCTCATGTCGGCTCACGCCCCAGCCAACCAAGCTTACCGTTTCCTCCGAGAACGGTAAATTGGCATCAGCATCGGCTAGGAGGTGACTTGTGCACATCCACTGGCCTCCGCAAGTCACTGTAAGGTCATGTAGCATTCAATAAACCACTTCGATCCTGAATGGGAGTGTAATGCATGGCGCATCGCGGAAAGCGATTGATCAGCAGCGAATGCTACATCCTTTTATCCCAGGGAACGCTAACGAGGAATACTTGTACTTGTCGTAGAGAATCTAGATCTCAATAGCATTACTTTCAGGTTTGATGCATAAGCTAAGTTCTACACTTACCGTTCGTCGTCCGTTTTCGGTAATGAACTCAGGGGAGGTGCCGTTCACTGGTCAACATGAGCATCAAGGTGTGCCTGGAAAACCGCGTTTTCGTATTCTCAACTGCTATCCATTCCGTCTTCAACCAAATGAGACCTATTCTCTCGATGTCGCGTATGTTTACAGAAAAATCCATTGACTTCCAGAAATTGAGCGTCTTTCGATTCTTCCAACATTTTAGGTACACACCAGACTTCTTGACTACCACAAATGAGGCGGATCTTCAGTTGTACATGCATATGAATGGTAGTTCATGGTTGTTTCCATTGGCCGCGACAGTTCCAGAAGATATGCTGGCTAGATGTCATCGAGCCCTTCCGCGACCTCCTTTCGAAAACCTCATGTACTACAGCTGTGTTACAGCTCTTGTGTGAGTTTTAGTTCAGTTTCATAGATTTTCGTTTAAGTCTTGATTCTCCTAATTCTCCTAATTCTTGTAGTTTCTGCCTGGTGTGTGTATTGGCGTGTGCATATTTGGAAGGTGATAGAGCTATCGCTTGTGCTATCCGACACGTATTCGATTTGAACAACTTGGACTACAAAAGAAATGGCCATCCGTCTTCAGCTGAAGGCAGCGCTCATGGTGGCAACGGGAAAAATAGCGGTACGTACTTCACCTTGCATTCATTCCTTGTGCTGTGTGAATACTAATCCATTACTTCGAACTATTTAAGTTTCTTGGAACGAAGCTCTACCCTCTGGCATACATGTTGCGGCTGATGCTTCGATGATCCTACGAATCTTCTATCAAGCAGCGAATTCTGTGCTGAGAGCAGTGCACTTTGTATGGCGAATTTCGTTGCTCTATAGAAACGACAAGCAGGATCAGCCCAAGAAAGAGAACAAGGTTGGTTACCTCCTCAGTCGAGTTTTTATTTATTTACTTAATTATTTTTTTATTTATACGTACCAACGCGCCCAAGTATAAAGTGTCGATGTAGACTCACAAATTCCTAGTCTTCTTTGTGACTCTGATAAAATGAAACTCTTACAAGTATTCATCTCATTGATTACAATGCGGGCCTCAATGACAATTATCGCGATCAAGTGTTACTGGTAGCAGGCGCTCAGTCATGAACCAGTAGCCCATGAGCAACTCCCCAGTAGAGAAAGAAGCAAAAAAAAGTTGGAGAACACCCTGGAACAGAGACCCCTGCAGTGGAGTCAGCACCTTGGACAAGTTTTTCGGACGTCAGACAAGCCTATCAGCAGGATTCGTAGTGTAGCCATTTACCGGCAAGAGCATAGGAAATCGCCCTACGACGCTCCAGGCAACGCTATGTACACACGCGATTCCGTTTGCTAGCCGTTGTCTTGCAGAGTTACAGTACGCGGTTGCACCGGTTGCAAAACTGACGCTTCTTTGACTCGCTATTTCGAGTGACGAAAGCGGTATATTCTCTGAATGTGTGGACAAGAATACCAAATGCACAGAGGCATTTCGCTGATGACTTGATCGCGGGACAGGGATGGGGTCGTATTTGGTCTGAGGAAATTTTTGCTAATTAATTTTTCTTATTTCACGGACACTATAAGGGGAGGCAGCGTATTCGCTCGTTGTTGGGAGAGGGGAGGGTCGTACTTGCCATACTGAGAGAAATTTGCGGTTGGGAAGATTTCCTCCCGGTTTTTGACTTTTCGCGGTATTTCTCTTGTTTCACGTGTGCTATAACCCCCCTCCCCCCGCTCGCCCTCGGCATGTACTTTATACCCGCCTCTCCCCTCCCCCCCTGCTGGACAGCTCAATAGTATCAGAGAAGTGAACTAGGGGGGGCATATCAGGCTACCTTTTAGGGGAGGGGTCGTACAGACTCGACCAAAATCCCCAACTAATGATGTGCCCTGCTTCCTCTGGTCTATAATTATCACGTACATGGCCCACGCCAACATCAGTCTAATTATTATACATACATTACAAAAAATTCAAAAAGACAAAAACAGTCAACAACTGAAATACTTCCTACAGGAAGCGTGAGCTAGGTTGGATGGGGTCCAGTATATACTGCAAGATAGTCCAATAATGGCACGGAATACGCAACATTGACTCACGCGATCTCACCCGTTTCACATCCTTAGCGAATGAGTTTGGGAGATAAGG